GAGTGTTGCCGCCAGTTGCTGCTTGCATTTTGGGACTGCTATGAGCAAGAGCACCCAGAACATGAAATCTTCAAACAGAAAAACCGCGACCGGTTGGGAAAGACAATCCCCTTAACAATGCATGGGGACGGTGGCCGGACCCAGAAAAAGCAGCCCTTAGAGATTTGCAGTTTGCAGCCAGTCCTTGTGCTGAACAGCGCAAGCTGTGCAAGCGTGAGTTGCCATTGCCCAACCTCAGTGAAGCATGGCTCTGGCCAATTTGGTGACCCGCTGCGTCAATGCTTGAACAGCAAACACAACACGTACATGACTCATTTTTTGCTGTTTGCATATCCATCAAAGAGCTACAAGGATTTTGCAAATCTACTTCATGGGTTGCTTCAGTGTGTTTGTGATGACCTCGCTGAAGTTTGCAAATCCGGTATCAAAACAGCTGGTGGTCGCCACTACTACTTTGCCAGTGTAGGCTTCAAGCTGGACATGGAATGGATGGCGAAGATAGGCTCCTTAACAAGGAGCTATCAGAACGTTGGCCATGTCAACCAAATCCCTTGCTGCCACGAGTGCGATGCAGGGGCGCATAATGTGCACTTCGAGGATGTGAATCCCAATGCGCGTTGGATTGCCACAAGGTTTGCAACACTACCTTGGGTGAGATCTCCTCCGTGGTCAAAGATTCCTTTTGATTCACGCAGGCCTGCCAAATTCCTGAGACGTGACGCTTTCCATGTGTTTCGACTAGGGATCGGAAGGAACTTCCTGGCTTCGTGCATCATGTTGATGTGTTTCATGGGCTGTCCCTTGCACGGTAACTTGAAAGAGTTTTCTGTGTAATTAATATCTGTGTTTAGTCAGTTAGGTTTCTCAAACGGTCCCTCTAATGAAAGGAGCATACAGATCATACAGGTTCTTTGTATGGCCAAGCCAGCCTAGGCTTTCCAGACCCAGATGGTGGAAATAGCACAGCGGATTGTTTGAAGCGTGCCTTCGGAAACCTATCCTTGTTTTGCTTTGTTAACAAGCTACACCTAGGTGGAATCAGGGGATTCACGCCTGCCAACTTCCATGCAGAAAAGTCTGCATTCCCGTGGGTTGGGTGCAAAGGCTCCGACACCGTGGTGATTTTGAAGTGGTTGGCCTTCCTGCTCAAGCTTCACCTTCAAGAGAGCTCCTGGTCCGCGACTGACCAACAGGTCCTTGAGTGGATGTTACAAGGGGCAACATGTGCCCTCATGTTCACACAAGGAATCCATCGCCACGGTGTATGGTTGACCCGTTCATGTGCTGTGCATTTGCGGCGTGCTGTGCAAAAGTTCGGAGGAGCATACGCGCAATTGGCCCAACACAGCCTTAGGTTGGGGTATTGCTTGTTTGGCATGGTGCCCAAATTGCATGCCTATATGCACTTCCGGACGGATCTGGATAGATATGCTGAAGGATGCTGAACGCAACTTTGCTCTCAACCCTGCAGTATTTGACAATTCAATGAGTGAAGATTTCATTGGGCGTGTAGCCCGCCAATCATGTAGATTGAGTTTCAAAAACATTGAACGCACAATCCTTCAGGCTTACCAAATCAAAGCCAAGTTTTGCTTGGACAAGTTCTCAAAGAACAAGTCTCTAAGGCCAGGACGCCAGATCAAGAACAGTGGTAGCTGAGTGATCAAAAAACAGCTGCAGGGCTGGGGGGCAGAGGCGTTTCTTGCAATTCGCAGGCTGAAATCTTTTGGAGGGGTTGTTTCTGCAATCCACAGCAGTAGAGGCAGAAAAAATGCAAGGAGCATGATGTAGGTATATATATATATCATCGATCATCCGCATTACGTATAGTCCATAGCGGAGGTCCTTTAAGTAACTTAAACGCGACTTCAGACCGGTGGGATGCAGAAAATCTGACCGGTGCGGTGATCAACCCACCTTTAGGGTGACTTCAACCCACCGTGCCTCGTCGGTCGTCGATCCGATCCACTGGTGCGGTTGGGGCTTCAGGACGCTCAGCTGGACTCGCTTCAGGTCCCCAGCCACTTGCTGAAGGAAGCCTTCGATGGAGGCGACGCGGCCGGCTTCGTGGATGGCGAACAGAGGTGGAGCTGAGCAAGACAAGGTCCAAGTAGACACGCCAGGGCCGCGTAAGCGTACGCTATACCGCGGCTGCGGTATGTGTGCACGGTGTGGTGGTGTGGTATGCGGCTGTGGGTGCGGCACGTGCGGGTTTTTGTGGGTGAATTCAGCATGTAGTCCCATTATATGTTGTGTTCATCGCATGTGTTTCTTTTTCACACTGTATCTTGTACGTGTTGTGTTTTTTTGAACATGGGTTCCAAGCCTTTCTTGCATGTTTGTCGCTGGCATTTGGGTGTCGGGAGTGAACTAGCCAACCAGTAGATAGTAGATGCATCCAAGTGCATCGCACATCTGTTTTAAGCAACAGCAGGTCCAAATGTGTGGATATATTAATATAGGCATCCCTGCCCTCCAATAGGCACCTCTTCGGAATACACTCCAAACCGAGTTCATGTTTTCTCACCGCGATTGCTCCGCTCCGCCCACCATCCCGGGCCCCGCCATCATCTCTCCAGTGTGGTTTGGGAGCCTCATGGAGCATGGTCATGGTGTCCGCCTGAGGTCGGGGGTTCCTCAGTGGGAAACTGACCAAAGCCTGCAACTTCAGAGTCTTTGGGGGGGGATCAGAACTGTGATGTTGGCCTCACATCTTCAGGATCGAAACCAACAGAAACAACAGTGGAGAACCTGAATTGAGAAATAAACAGATACTGTAATGGCATAGAATATAGAACATTATCGAACTATAAAAGTCTGCTATAATGTAGTATGTTATTGTTATATATTATATATATACTTGAGATCCTCTAATTCAAGCACATACAACGACCTCCAACGACCTCCCCCCAAACAAGACCTCTGGAGGCTTGAGCCTCGACCTGGCGACGCGCACATCGCTGGCCACGAAGACCTTCACCGCGGGCTACGGCAAGACGAGCTACGGCGCTGTGGGGCTCAGCCGCGCCGGGCCGCTCCTCTACGACGCGGCTCCTCTCCCTCCGGAGCGCAGGCTGGTGGCGGAGCACCTTGGCTTAGTGAGGTTGGATGAACACAATCTAATTAAAGTCTCCAATGCCCAAGCTACTAGGAACAAGTGCATCGCTACTAGTAGCAAGGGTCTTACTAGTAGTAACAAGAAGCTATTAGAAAAAAGAATTAGATGAACACCACAAAAAGCAGCGGGAGACCGGGGCCATGGAGACGTCCTCTTGGTGGATTTTTTTTTCTGGGGCCATGGAGACGTACGTCCTGCCATTGTTGGAGGGTAGAGTGAATGGCCCTGGCCCTGGTCATGGCCCCCTGGGATTTGCAACCATCCACTGTACTGGTCACTACATTGACCCTTTGAAAACCCATCCCGGCCCCAATGTATGTAAATATGCCAATCCCATTATCACATTGCCACCCCAATATATGTTCTGAATATGCCAGTATAATGTCATGGAGTGTTTGGAAAATCGTTATTGGAGGACGTTTGAAGTCCTTGAGCCTCCAGTTGCCCCCACACCCAAAGACTTCGTTCGAGTCAGAAGTTCTTAATCAAAGACAAAATGAGGAATGATGATCACACTGCAAGCACTTCTGGTTGTCCGTGTGATTCTTCTCTTAGCACAGATTGGAGAGAGAAAGTGAAAGCACCAAGCAGACCATGTTGGATGGTTATGCCGCCCGTGCATGTTTTCCTCTAACTTCCTCTCCTTTTCAACAGGCCTGGAGGAGGCCACTCAAAACACTCCCCATGTTTGTGCCTGGCCCTGTCTCACCGATGCCATTTCAGTTGCAGCGCGTGCGTGCGCTTCAGGAAACGCTTCACCATGTCGCTACCAGCGGATATGTGGTCGCAAGTGCGATACTTCGCACCCAAAGAGGTGGCAAACCTCATGGGTTTTCCAAGGACTTGGAGCTTGCCAGGTGGGGTGGGGTTCAATATGGGATCAAACTGCTGTTTGAAGGGTTGAATCGTTCGGCCAAAGTTGTTTGGGGCGTGGAAATCAACAGTCACACAAGCTGGTGGAGCCAAGATACAGTATAGCATTAGAAAGATCATGGATGTATAGGAGGAGAAGCTGAGAGATGGAATCCTTTGAAACCTGGATCACTGACTTGGAAGCCTGGTAGAGACGGTTACCTGGGATGATTCCGTCCTGCGCCACGTAGGCAGGTATTTATTGTTTAATGCTGTAACTTAATTATTTTTTGCACGTGGACCTTCAAAGTGACCTGTTTGGAGTTTCTTCAGGGACTACGTGACCTCATCGGGATCTCAAAAGATCACGTTGAAGTTCGTGGTGCATGCAGTGTTCAGCTTTGGTTGAACTCTGATCTCCAGACTCCAGGTGACTTGCCATGCCGGACCCAGTGGCGCCTGCTGGGCAACTCGGTGAATGTCTCACTGGTCGCCCATCTGATGGACGAGCTACAGAGATGGATGCAAGATGACGAGCTAACCGGATCAGATGTAGTACTGTAGTACACTCTTGATTCAAAAACCTCTCATATGGGCCGGTTTATTAATCAAGAGTCTACATTAGGTGCTTTTATGTGACCTTCACTTTCCATTTTTCACATGTCGCAACCACGGAGCCAAAGAGAGCTCTTCGCGCGTAGATCAGAGATGCAGCCTCCAAAAAGCAGCCGACCTGCCGAGACGGTGGGTTTTTCACTGTCAAGTCACGAATGTGTTTCAGACGGTGTTTGAAAGAATCATTCCGAAGCACACTACGAGCTACGCAATCATTTTCAGTGAACGGCACGTTTCCGAACATTCCAACAGGTGCTGTTCCACTCCACGTCCACCGTGGCGAGAGTCTTCGCATCTACCACCCCTGGCCCACGCAGTTCACGAAGAGTCTTCGCAGTGGTTCACGTCAAGACGGGGAGGGCGGGCCCGGCCCCCAACTCTCGGGCGGAGTGGCTCGGCCAGCATCTCTCGGCAGGTCGAGGAGGTCATCCACGTGGAAAACCCGGACAACTACCTTCGCTACGCCATGAGGCGAGCCTGACCGGTCGCATGTGGAGTTGCAGAGCAGAAGAGCTGATCGTTGTGCGATCGCTGCACGCGTTCAATGCCCGGTAGAGACCACAGACCGCCCCAGGTGTTTTTTTTGTTGGAATGGAAGTGTCCCGAAGAGTTACACACATGTGTACCCCATGTATGACCGTATGACCCATGCATGCGAGTAACTATTGCATGCATGGTTTGGTTTGCGGGATGTTGATTAGTGCATGTTACTGCAAACCCATTTGTCCGGCAAACGGCAATCCAGGTCATAAACAGAGAGTGTAGATGTATGTAAAGCCCGGTGTTTTTCCTTCTTGAGCCAAGTCCAGTAAAAGGTCAAACGGTTCTCCGGGATAAGGGGATGAAGGCGACTCCTTTTCCGCCTTCTCCATTCGGGATCCACCGTTCCCCCCATTTGCACGATGCTCGTTTGAGGCTCATGAGTGCCACCATGCCACCTGTTGTTGAAAGAGGGCATTGGTAACATGAGAATGGCTTCTTTGGAAAGCATAGGACAATAGGACAATAGGAAAACAAAGACACAGGTCTTTTTGAGCATGTGTTTTCACTTCAGGGAGGGTAACCGTTACTTGCCCAGCTATTCCATGTCCCACCACCGGTCCAATGTTTTCCCAGGACTTAGATTAAATTTGTGTCCACATGTGGTTGGAGAACTGAAACAAACAGATCATCGCGGGTTCTCATTCTGTCATCTTCATGGTTCCACCGAGCAAACCGGGCCAGGCGTGAAAAGGTCCGGCAGGAGCTCCAGAGCAAACCGATGACTGGCACGGCCACTCGACCGATGCCACGAGTCGTATAGACTCGTTGGAGCGTGACCGGTGGTCGCAGTGTTGGCCTGGTATGACCGGTGACCGGCGACCCGCTGGTGGAGAATGAACAGAAACATCGCACTGCCGAGTGCCTGACTAGCGGATGCCGTTCTCGAACGGAGGAAGGACTTGGATTCTTCCCACTGAAAGAAGACGGATACTACCAGGTATGCTATCACTTGCGACTTCGAGAGTTCCGCCACTTCTTAGGATCCTGTGACTATTCATCGTGTTTTTGTTTGTTGTCCTGCTGTCCAGCTCCCCGTCTTGCAAGTCTTGCAGGTCTTAACATGGACCCTGAAGATCACCCCTCAGAGTCCGCCCCTTTTTTCACTCTACCGAGTGGTTTTGAGAGTCGTTGATCTTCAGGAATCGATCCAATGATCAATGAGCCAATGGACATCAATGGACCTCTAAGACCCTGAGGGTCAATCGCATTTGGAAACCAACACGTCCATGAATTCACTTCAACATACCACTCAACCAGAAACCCAACACCACGGACCCACACCAACAGACGTCCTGGGTGGCGAGCGAGCCCGGGACGTTTGGACCCGTTCGTGCGCTCAGGAGCTGGATGATGCCAACCCCATCAAGACGAAGCAGGTGTCCTTGAAGGCGAGCGGACCGGGCATCAAGCAAGGATATGTTAGAAACCAACTGAGATTGGGTCAGACTGTGTTGAAACACGGCTTTGCCACACCATGTAGTCGATACTGACGCTCTATAGGGCACAGGAAGGCTTTTGATCATTGGGATTGATCAAGTCAGTTTCATGTTGAACTGCAGTGCAGTTCAGAAGGCTTACTTTCACCTTCTTTCACAAGTGTTTTGGGACGGGCAATCCTCAACCGCAACTTGACGTGGAGATCGAGCTACACTTGATCATCTAATTGGTCCATACAGATCCCCAGCGAAGCGACAAAGTCCTGCCAAACTGACCCAGTCAGTGTCGTAACTCACTTCTGGGCTGACTTGGAACCCCACAGCTGCAGGGCCTGAGCTTTCATCCTGATGAGCCGATAGACGAAAAGCTTCAAGAGGTCTGGCTTTGGCACGGGAGCCTCGGGCGATTTTCTTGGATCAACGATGAAGAATCATGGAAGTTGAATTCAAACTTCAATGCAACATGTGGTTTTCATGTTAGCGATGCCCCGGCAAACAACAAATAAAAGTTTTCCAAGAAGCCATGTTCAGCCATGTTTGGACCGGAGCCTTCCTACACATTTGGACCGGAGCCATTCTTGAGGGGACCACTGACATGTGGGGCGACTCTACAAAGCTCATGATTCTTCGCAATAGAGATTGCTCCTCTGAAGAGGGGCTGGTGGAATGCAGTGGTTTGCAGCTGAATGAAGGTACGTATGGTTTGAGCGATTTCGGCACGGTTGCACCAGAAAATCGGAGATCAGAATGGAATTCCTGCTACCCGGACAGGGATGTTGCTTATAGTCTCTTATAGTGTTCAGTCTAGCTCAGCACTTGTTTTTTTGTTTAAGCATTGTATTAAATATGATTCAGGATCGTTTGAAAGATGTTAAGAGATGTTGTTCTGATGCTAATTATATGGCCGATGTTTGCTTGTTTATCAGTCCATGGCGCTTGTTTTTGGTGCATCCAAAGACACCGACGATGGCCACCGGCGGCTTCTCGGACTCCGTGGACCGGATGCCCGAGGACCGGGAAGGAGGGCGCTGCGGGGATCACCGACACGGACTTCGACATGGGCCGTGCTGGCTCAGCCCCTTGGGAGCGTTGGGAAGACGAGCCGTCCGTCACTGCTGGGCACTGCTGGAGGCTGTTGGGAAGGTTGATTTCAATGACCAGAAAGACGGGTGTTGATACGTTTGATACAGTACGTTTGTGTACTGTATATATACATGTATATGTAGATATACGTACACTGTACACACATTAATGGCTTTAATATACACAGTAGACATATACTGGATATTGTAGATATTGGTATTCAGGCGCCATTCAACATTAATTGAACACACACACATATATATATATATATATTTCATATACATATATATATATATATAGAGGTTCTGGCTCAAGGCTCAAGGTTTCGGCTCAAGCGGGTGACTGCGGCTGGCTCTTCGTGTGAACGAGCTGAAGGCCCAGAACTTCGAGACGGGAAAGGTCACCCTAAAGAATGAGGCGAAGCTATTCTGTCTGCACTGGCTGCAGTGGCAGCTGGATCTGGCAGGACAGGCTCATCAACAAGCCGGATCTCAAATGCCTGCAATGCAACAAGCCATGGCAGCAATCCAGGGTTCCTGACCTCAAAAGGCGCCAAGTCACATGGGCAGCTTGGAACTACCAGTCGAAAGGCCATCATTGGCCGAAGAAAACATACCAAGAAGCTCTTTTGGAGCCACCTCCGGGCCTGTACGGAGGACACCCGGCCAAGCGCGCCAAAAAGGTCAAGCAGACAGCCCTATGCAAAGCAGTACAGGAACACTGGGATTCCTTGCCGGAAGCCATGAAACATCAGTGTGAAGCCCTCGGTGTCCCGCCATCGACACCACCTCCACCACCTGATCTTCCGAGCTTGATCAAGGAGCATCTTCAGAGCCTGCCACAGGATCTGAAAGCAGCCGTTGAGAAGATTGTTGTTCCAGACAAACCGGAACCGACTTTGGCAACCAAGTTGAAACAGTCGGTTGGGGCATTACGCCAATTGACTGACAAAAAGGCCGCCATCCAGTCGAAGGCTGATGCAGTGAAGGCACAGTACACTGCATTGCTTCAAGAGCTCAAAGAGCTTCAAAGCAAGATTGAGAGTGCTCAAAAAGACCTCCAACAAGCCACCACGCTCTACAACAAGCAGTTGGAAGAAGACAAGCAGGCCACAGCCGAAAGCAATGTCGATCCAGACGAATTGACTCCAGAGAATCTGATGGCCATTATGGCCAGTGTCGGTGTACAGGCCACCTCGACACAGATTCAAGACTTTGCACACAAGCTTGTTGAGAATGTGTCAAAAAGACGGAAGTGCGGGTAACCCTGCAACGCAGTTTTTCATGATCAGAGAAAGCGCTCAGACACTTTGCACACATCATGGGGGAAATGATGCCAGCATGGAGTCTGATGGGGAAGATTTTGGCTCAGGCGATCAAAGGGACCAGATGGCCGAGCCTGGGGCAGCAACACCTTGCTCCAATGAGGTGATGCTTGAGGATGGCTGCAGCTATCCGAGTTTTTGTGGAGGCGCTGGAACCCAGGCGGAGAACCTGGACAATGAAGCGCCTATGGAAGTTGACCAACATGGGGAAGATAGGCAGGTGGCCCAGTGCCCTCTGGACTACGTGCTCCAAAATTTGCATTGCCGCCTTGGCAATCCTCGAAACAGATGCTATGCTAATGCTCCTTTCCGCCTCTGGGCCTGGTCAGGAAGTTTCTTGGCTGGACCAAAGATGTGGAACCACACCGCCACGGCAGTACAGGCTGCTCTGGCTGATGAAGAGATAGTTCAGTTGCCGCAGCTTCAACCTTTGAAGCCTTTGTGGCAAAAATTTGACGAGAATGCCCAAGATGATGCAGCCCACTTCCTTCTTGAGTTGAAGGACTTGGCAAAACCCCAACAGGTGATCACGCAGTACTACCACGTTGACCATCGACAGGAGGTGCATCAGAGGAAAGAATTTCCTATGCACTTGATCTTTGAAGACAAAGGTCACCCACAAGAATTTGAAGAGCTCATCAACAACTGGGCAAATCAAGCAGAAGGCCAAGTGTTAGCCGGCAGAGGGCTTTGGGTGGCCCAAATTGGCAGGTACACTTTCCAACACTTGGAGTGGACCAAACATCATCAGGTGTTGCATGTACCTTCGGTTTTCAATCTGCCGTACACTCTAGATGGCAACAAGATACAGACAGAACAGTATTCCTTGATTGGCCTGTTGTGTCATTCTGGCACAGCCCACAAAAGTGGACATTTCTTTGCAGTTTTTGCCTACCGTGGACTTTACTGGATTGTTGATGACGGATCCTATCCCAGACCGGTGGCACGCTTGCAAGACAGCCTTTTGACACAAATAGTTCAGATTTGGGCCATTCCTTCCGACATGGTGTTGCCGGAGCACATCCCATCTGACATTCTGGCCAGCCAGACGGAGCTGAGTGAAGTGCAGGCGAACAAACGCCATTGTACTCATGGTGTTGGCTTTTCTTTTGCAAATGTCACGACTCTTGGCCACTCAGTGCGGCAATGGTTGCTTGGCAGAGAACGAACGCCAATCTTCCTGGCGGAAACACATTTGAGCCCGGAAGACCATGACAAAACACTGCAATGGTTTGCTACCAGAGGATACGGCATCATTGGGGAAGCCGCAGCGGTAAGCCCCAAAGGAGGCACAAATGGAGGCCTTTTGCTGGTCTTTCCAGCGAATCTGCACTTCCACTTCGTGCAAAAGCAGATCATTGACGGATGTGGGTGGTTTGCAGTACACTGGACATTCGAAAACTTTGATCTCATCTTGGTCATGGTATATTTTAAGTGTGGAGAAGGCCTGCAAGGAGCCACAAATTCTTTGCTGTGGTCCGGGCTCCTCACCTTTGTCACCAGTCTTGCCAAGCCGGTGATAGTGTTTGGAGATTTCAACATCGCACCAGAGGAATTCATGGCCACCACGATGGGCACCATCATGCAGGTGCAAGTCTTAGCAACAGGCGAGGAAACCTGTGCCACAGGAAGGGAACTGGATTGGGCCTTGGTGACCACTGCTCTTCTCCCTGAAGCCCGCATAGAAGCCAACTGGCTGGTCCCATTCAAACCGCATGCACAGATCAACCTGCACCTGGCCAAAGATCTACATCAAGTGACGGTCACACAGATACAGCGACATCAGCCTGCGCCCAAACTGGAGAAAATCAGCATGGAATGGACACAACTTGCTGAGATTGACCTTCCTGTGAAATGGCTTGGTATGCCAACCAACCAGCTCACGCAACAGGCAGGACAGCTGTATCACAAGATTGAGCGCTATGTTCTGCAACAGCATACAACTCCCAGTTATGGCCGTGGCACTACTTTGAACTACGTTCAAAAACCGCTGAATGATCCTAGCAAACCATGGTTGTGGAAGAAAGGGTCACTGGCCTACTGGTCCCAGCTGGAAATCAGATTGCAACAGCACATGCATCGGATGAACTCAGAAGACAGACAGATGCAGCATCTAGAACGCCTTGGTTGGCATGTTGATCGCAACTGGCATCCGGAAAGCAACATGACGCTTGAAGGTTTCAAACTCCTTTTCCAGATGCTGTGGAAGAGTCATGATGTTGAGCACATTCAAGTCCTTCTACAAGCCGTCAAGCAGCAATGGGAGCTTCACCAAAAACAGGTGTTTGACACAGAAACACAAGAGTACAGAAGCTGGATGCAAGCTGCCTCGCTATCAGGCTGCCGGGGTCTCTTCAGAACCCTCAAAAAAGATGAACTGCCTTATGCGAGACCCTTTCAAGACTTCCCGCGTACAGAAAGGATGCAGCACAGACTCCAACAATGGGGGGAAATCTGGCAGACGCGAGAGCAGCAACTTGAACCCAAAACGATCCAAGCGCTCATCTACAAGGGTCAAGACTATGCACGTGAGACGCTCCAGCCACTGCATGTGCATCAAGTGTGGAAAGTGATCAAACGCCTCAGCCACAAAGCGCCTGGCCTTGATGGAGTTGGATATGATTTCTTCAAAGAGCTTCCTTATCAAGCCATCCCGGACTTGATACAGTTTTTCCATGAGATAGAGGCCACGGCGAGCATCCCAAATCAATGGACCTCTTCCTTGATTGCAATGCTGCCCAAAAACAAGGACATTGAGAGGCCGATTGCATTAGTTGCCTCCTTGTACAGGTTATGGTGCAAGGTCAGAGCTCCGTACACAAAGCAATGGCAGCAAGAGATCCAAGATGTGTACAAATGGGAACGAGCAGTTCCTGGCACAGAATGCCTCAAAGTAGCGCTGAAACGTGCTTTCATGACCGAGCACCATCATGCCCTCAAGCGCACAGTTGTCTCAGTGCTCATGGATATGTCAAATTTCTATGACAGAATTGACCTGGAGAAGCTCACAGAGCGTTGGCTTGACTCAGACTACCCGGCCACACATGCTGCCCTGGCCATGCAGATCTACTGTGGTAGTCGGATCATTGAAGCTGAAGGAGAAGCATCCAAGATGATTTGGACCAGCAATGGTATCTTGGCAGGGGATCCACAAGCACCTTTGGCTGCAAAAATTTACCTCAAAGAAGCCTTGCATGCTTTCTGCAAGCGATTCCCTCAACTACAGGTTGATCTTTGGATTGATGATCTGAGTTTCGACATTGTTGATCGTGATCCTGCAAATGCTGTCAGATTGGCCATTGCAGCGTTTCAGTATATCAAAGGTCTCTTGGAGGCGGACAATTTGAAAGTGTCAGACAAAAAGACGGGCTTCATCACCTCGAATGCCACGGCAAAGAAACTTCTCCTTGAACAGCTGCCAAAAAATGGACCAGGTGTACATGATGTGATGCGAGACCTTGGTGTAGATTGCACAGCAGGTCGCTTGAGACGCATAGCCACGATGAAATCTCGAAGATTCAAAGCAAACAAAAAGACTCAAAAGATGAAGGCCTTGAAGATCCCACAAAGAGCAATTCGCTTAAGATTGTACAAGGGCAGTATCCTGGCCAGCATCAGCTGGGGACATGAGGCAATGGGCCTGGCTCCACAGGTCCGAAAACGCATCA